CCAGGGTTAATGAGGGTGATAAGGTAGAAAAGAAGTGGCGTATTTGAAGGTAAATATATAGGTGTTGAGAAGGTAGAAGAGATTTTTTCTGTAGATCTGGGAATGAGTGTAACTTACGAGTCACCGGGTGTACCAAGTGACGCAATTGAAAAAGGTTAGCTGCTACCCAAAGAGACATCCGGGACATGGCCATATTGTCTGGAAGATTAGGGTTATGGAGAATATTTGTCAGTGGGGAGCAATCAGAGGCCAGTGTAAATTTAGCCTTACATTTCCGCCAAACAGCCAGAGAAAAGTGCATGGGACCAAGGAATAGGTGGCGAAAAGAAGAGACATCCACTGTTGAGGTCGACCAAAGGAGGGAGCATGGATGAGCCGGAGACAATTGTAAAGATTCAATCTCAGCCCACGTGTTGGGGGAGGATAGTGAGTAGACCATGACATGAGAAAACGAAGATGAGTTGCATAGTACTATGTTATTATATCCGGTACCCCCAAGCCCCCCCTAGAACGCGGAGAAAGCAAAACAGAACGTGCAATCCTGTGCCGCTTGTTGTGCCATATAAAATGCAGGAAAGATTTCTGGAGGGAGTGAAGTTTGGACATCTTTGGCACAACTTTTGATGCAACTTTAGTCCAGTGAATGTAAAGTCAGATCAAAGCCGCACTAAAAACAGCACAATTTTGGAGATGCACTAATGTGAATGGAGCCTAAAGGCAAAACATTTTCAAACCGTTTTGGATAGAAGCGAAAAGGGGTTAGAACCCCTGTCAGGTTTTTACTGCTGTCCCATTAGGGAGATTCACCCTCTCTATTTGTCCTGTTTACCCTTAACTGAGAATGAAAGAAAATCCCAAGTTTTGGGATATCACCAGAACAGGAATAGAGAGAAAATCTTCCAATGGGGACACTAGTTCTGGTGACCAACACGGATTCCCTCACTTTGAAAGGATTTCCTCCCACTTCATATTTTGGCTACAGGACCCCCCAAAAAAAACTTACAGGGGTTATCTATCCAAAATTAAAAAAAAGTTTTGCCTTTAGTTCTACTGTAACCACTTCACTACTACCATGCGCTTTAAAACAGTGCTGCAGAATACACTTGGGTGCTCCCTATCAATGGACAGCTCAGACCACATGTACAGAGACAACCAGAGTGGCTCTGTACCTTGTGATCGATGTGAACCAGTCACAGCCCCCCACCAGCAGTGTTTACAAACATTCAGCCCATTCATAATCACTTAAACGCTACCACACTGCTACAGGGCGGCACGGGTGCGCAAAATCACGTGTATATATATATATATATATATATATATATATATATATATATATATACACACACATGATTTTGCATTTCTGGCTAGGGGATGCTCGCGCTGCCATTCGCGACCATCAATCACCGGGTCCCGGACATGATTGCCGAGCATCTCCAAACAAAAAACAGTTCTCCCTGTCAGCTCGTGCACACTACTTTGCATGGCTGTGCTGTGTGCAGTGGGATTACAGTGAAGCACACAGACACCGCCCCCTAGTAAAACACTCCCAGCAAACAGTTAACCCTTCGATCGCCCCTCATGTGAACCCCTTCCTGCCCAGTGCCATTAGTACAGTTTCAGTGCTTTTTTTTTAGCATTGATCACTGTATTGGTGTCACTGGAGATGTCAGAACACCAAGTCAGTTCCCCCCCAGTGTCAGAATGCCTGTCGCAGTCCCACTATAAGTCGCTGATCGCCGCCATTACTAGTAAATTTAAGAAAAAAAATTCCAGTATCTATACCGCCATTTGTAAATGCTATAACTTTCACGTAAACCAATTAATTTACACGTATTGGGATTTTTTTTTTAGCAAAGACATGTAGCAGAATACATTTTGGCATAAAATTCTAACAAAATTTGATTTAATTTTTTTACTGGACATGTTTAATAGCAAAAAGTCAAAAATATTGTTTTTTTTTCTCAAAATTGTTGGTCTTTTTTTTTATGGCGCAAAAAATAAAATACGCACAGGCGATCAAATACCACCGGAAAAAAGCTCAATTTGTGGGGAAAAAAAAGACATCAATTTCATTTCGGTGCAGCGTTGCATGACCATGCAATTGTCAGTTAAAGTAACGCACCAACGTAACACAAAAAATGGCCTGGTCGGGAAGGGGGGTAAATCCTCAGGAGGGCAAGTGGTTAATGGCCACGTGTCCGTCCAACCGCAATGTACTTTGGAAGAGCGAGTACTGTAGGCAAAGTGACGTACCTGTATATCAATGACTACTTACGGGTTTTGGGTGCACACATGCACACCTCCCAGCAGGCACCCACTGTGATCATACACAATAAGAGCCAGTCAGCAAGTCCCAGCCAGGACCTGCTGATAGGCTGTGCCCAATCACAGCCCAGAGCCCTGTGTTGACAATCAACACAGAGCTCTGTACAGAGGGAACAATCTGTCTGTTTCTCATCCCTACTAAGCAGGGATGAGAAACCTAGAGATCTATTAGTAAAAGCAGCACACTTTACACATAGTTAGGCACAAATTTAACTCCTTGATCACCCTAGATGTTAACCCCTTCACAGCCAGTATCATTAGTACAGTGACAGTGTATAGTATTATCACTGAACACTGTATTAGTGTCACTGGTGGTGTCAGTGGCAGATAAGTCAGTTCCCCCCAGTGTCAGTTATTGGCATATTTCCCACCGCACTATCACAGTCCCATCATAAGTTACTGATCACTGCCATTAGTAGTATAAAAAAAAGTTTAAAAATAAAAAAAAAAATTATTATTATTATTATTATACAGGATTTATATGGCGCCGACAGTTTGCTCAACGCTTTACATTATGGAGGGAGACAGTACAGAAATAAAATCATATATATCTTAGATTGTAAGCTCCAAGGAGCAGGGCCCTCCTAACCCTCCTGTATTGAACTGTATTGTCTCCCGTTATATCGTAAAGTACTGAGCAAATTGTTGGTGCTATATAAATCCTGTATAATAGTATTAATAATAATAATTATATATATATATACATACATACATACACACTATAAATTGCAGACACTATAACTTTCATACAAACCAATCAATAAACACTTATTGGAATTTTTTTAACAAAGATGTACCAGAATACATTTTGGGCACAATTTATGAAGAAATTTGATTTTTTTTATTATATATGTTTTATAGCAAAAAGTAAAAAATATTTTTTTTTTTCAAAATTTTCAGTCTCTTTTTTGTTTATATCGCAAAAAATAGAAACCCAGTGGTGATCAAATAACACCAAAAGAAAAATCTATCTGTGAGAAAAAAAAATTATATGAATTTCTTTTGGGTACAGCAATGCATGACGGCACAATTACCAGCTAACCTAGCACAGTATAAGTATAGCAAAAAATGGCCTAGTTATAAAGTGGGGGGGGGGGCAAAACCTTTCAGGAGCTGAAGTGGTTAAAGGAGGAAGCTCCAATTTCTTGTGGAAAGGGTGAATGTTTGTAAACACAGCAGGAAGGCAGATGTCAGATTAAAGTTTGGAGATGATGGAGGTGAGGGGGGGGGGGGGGGTCATCTGACGGGAATTTAAAGTGCCACTGATCACCAATGATTGTTTTTTAAAAGGTAAATAAATAAAATGTAAATGTTGCAAGCTTGGTCTTTTTTCCTTGATATGGTAGTGGTTATGACACCACCATGGAAAGCTCTGTCTGCTTCAGTGACATAAACTTCATTGGGGTCCAGGATTGTATAACTGGGTGATTGTCAGTCAAACCATCACAGCACATACAGGGGGTATTTCAGGTGGTACTCAATCGGTTAATCTGTATATCAACAAGTGTCACTAAAGGTCATTTTTCTTTTAGTTATAGATAGAGTGGAGAGGGATTAGATCCCCAGTCAGTACAAAAATCTGGGATGACACCAGAATAGGAATAGAGAGGAAATCTCCCAACGAGGACACTAGTTGTGATGACAATCAGGGATTCCCTCACTCTGTAGGGATTTCCTCTCACTTCCTGTTTTGGCTATGGGACAGGAAGTGAAGGGAAATCTCTGCAATGGGACACAGATGGATAAAAAACTGACAAGGGTTCTAACCCCCCATTACTCTATAAAAATGAAAGTAAATTGTTTTTAGTGACACCTTATTGTATACAAGTTTTCCATAAATTTGTATCAAGAGATGAGCATCCTTCGCACTCACATGTATCTAAACATCAAAGTTTTTAGTCCAATCAGCTGCAGCCCAGGTTACTCCCCGCCCACGGCACATGTAATCAAAGGGGCGGGATGCTGGTGATGTCAGCGCCTTTATAAGGTAATGTGCCTATATTTAGTCTATAATGTGCGTCCATGTGTATGATCAATAGGTTATTTATACACTGGATATGATGTCACCACAACCCCGCCCCTTTGTTTACATGTGTTGTGGGGGGCGGGGAATGACCCATAATGCAGCTGATTGGACTAAAAACAAAATGATGACTGATGTTCAGATGGAAGGAGTGCAGAGGATGTCGTGCTCATCCCTACTTGTATCATATTATAGATAAATGACACAATGTATGAATAATAGATGATTTATGTGAGGAAGTCTCTGCCTGTGTACATGACATTGCTGACCCTCTGTTACCCCGAGCTTCAGCCCCCCGGAAAGCCCCATCTTATGGGGGACACAATAGGAACCCCCCAACACACACTATACAATGATGGCCAATCACCATGCCCGGAATGGTTGTGTGGGGTGTGCCTGGCCATATACTAATACTGACTTTCATAAAGTCACTAACTGAGCAGGCCTTTCACAGTGCCCCTGGACAGGTCAGTGCTGGGATATGGGGGGGGGGGGGTCATCACCTTCTGATCACACCTCTATATACACATAGGAGACAATAGGGGGCTCGGGGTGGGGTGTAGATGTGATCGGGGTGTGTGGCCCTGATCGGGTATAGATATGATCGGGTGATCTGATCGGGGTGTGTGTGGCCCGGTTCGGGTGTACTCACAGGGTGTTGGTCCGGTTCGGTAGGACTCCCATCGGTAACCTCCGGCCGCTCTCCGGGCTGCTGCACATCACCTTCCCCGCCTCCCCTCCCGATCCTCCTCCTCCTCCCGCCGCCGCCTTGCCCGGAGCCCGCGATCGGCCGTCCTGCTTACAGCCGGGGGGGAGAGCGGCAGCGGCAAGTATGGAGAGCAGAGCGATGATCGGGGCCAGGCCCCGGGCCTCCATCAGCAGCATTGTGCCGGATCCTCCTCCTCCGGTACCGGGACCGGGACTCTCCCCTCCCCCGCCAACACAGGGACACCCACCGGGGGATCTATGTGTGTCCGGTCCGGATGTGTCCGATCTCTACATTCACCTTCTATGGAGGGGGAGGGGGCGGCCGTCTGCACTCCGACTGGACAGGGGTCTGCTGGAGGGGGGAGGGGAGCCGGGATGGGGGTCCCCAGTGATCACCCCCCCCTCTACTCCTGGATGGGTGGAGGAGAAGGGCTCCTCCGATCTGTACTCCTCCTGGGGGGGGGGCTGTAGTTGTCTGTATTCCTGAATGGTAGAGGATCCCCTCTGATCACCCCCTGTACTCCTCCTGGATGGGGGTCTCCTATTTCTTGGTGGGGGGAGGGGTCTCCTATGATCACCCCTTGTACTCCTCTGTGTGTGTGTGGGGGGGGGGGGGATCTCTCCCCTCTACTCCTGGAAGCACTCCAGTTGGGGGTCTCAGATTAGTCCCTGCACTCCTGGATGGGGGCCCCTGATTACACCTTCATTATGGGGCCCCTGATTACTTCTAGACCTGAATTAGTTGTTGAGCTTTGTAGGTCCGGTTGAAGTTACTCCAAGTATTTCCAGCAAGGAGAAGGCTTCTTACTCCATTATGGGGGTCTCCAAATAATTTGTATTCTCAGATGTGGGGGTCTCTGATTCCTCCATTATGATATCTCTGTCCTCCAATACAGGGGTCCCCTTTACTCTGTGTCCTCCAATACAGGGGTCCCCCTTTTACTCTGTGTCTTCAGGTGTAGGGGTCCCTTGTTACTCTGTGTCCTCCAATACAGGGGTCCCCCTTTTACTCTGTGTCTTCAGGTGTAGGGGTCCCTTGTTACTCTGTGTCCTCCAGTACGGGGGTCTCTGGTTACTGTGTCCTCCAGTGTTGGGGTCCTCTGTTACTTTGTATCCTCCAGTACAGGGGTCTCTGGCTATTCCATGTCCTTCAATACAAGGGTCTCACTTTACTCTGTATCCTCCATTATAGGGGTCTCCTGTTACTCAGTGACCTCTAATATAGAGGTCTCCCTTTACTTTGTGTCCTCCAGTGTTGGGGTCCTGTTTCTTTGTATCCTCCAGTTCAGGGATCTCCTGGTACTTTGTGTCCTCCAGTTTAGGGACCCCCTTTACTCTGTGTCCTCCAGTACAGGGCCCCCCAGTACTCTGTCCTCCAGTGTAGGGGGTCTCTTGGTTTGGAAGAGTCTGTGCTGACCTGTAGATGAGGGGGTGGAGTTGGATCTCTTGTCCTGAGCTCTCAGCCCTAGGTGATCACAGCCTACCTGGCTGGTATTATCTCTGGACACTCCTAGGGGTCTCTCCGGGTCTGTAGTCCGGTTGTTGGGGTCTCTGGGTGGTCTGCGTTCTCAAGATCTCTGTTTGGGAAGTCAGATTGTTGCCCGCAGGCAGTTGTACTGAGTCCTCCCTGCCCCTTTCACACCAGACTCTGTTAGCATTACTACAGACAGTCCTCCTCCTGTGTCTCCTCCTCTCCATGCACAGACATGCTGGTGGGGAGGGGGCCAGACACAGGACACACAATGAGACTGCTATGTGTGATCCATGTGTCCTACTACACCATAGAGACATACAATGAGACCGCTATGTGTGATCCATGTGTCCTACTACACCATAGAGACATACAATGAGACCGCTATGTGTGATCCATGTAGAGACATACAATGAGACCGCTACAACTACACCATAGAGACATACAATGAGACCGCTATGTGTGATCCATGTGTCCTATTACACCATAGAGACATACAATAAGACCGAGACCGCTATGTGTGATCCATGTGTCCTACTACACCATAGAGACATACAATGAGACCGCTATGTGTGATCCATGTGTCCTACTACACCATAGAGACATACAATGAGACCGCTATGTGTGATCCATGTGTCCTACTACACCTATTACAATGACCATAGAGACATACAATAGAGACCGCTATGTGTGATGTGTGATCCATGTGTCCTACTACACCATAGAGACATACAATGAGACCGCTATGTGTGATACAATGAGACCGCTATGTGTGATATGTGTCCTACTACACTCATAGAGACATACAATGAGACCGCTATGTGTGATCCAGTGACACTACACTCACAATGATGAGACCGCTATGTGTGATCCATGTGTCCTACTACACCATAGAGACATACAATGAGACCGCTTATGTGTGATCCATGTGTCCTACTACACCATAGAGACATACAATAAGACTGCTATGTGTGATCCATGTGTCCTACTACTACGCTCACATCTCATAGAGACACACAACGAGACCGCTACGTGTGATCCATGTGTCCTACTACACCATAGAGACATACAATGAGACTGCTATGTGTGATCCATGTGTCCTACTACACTCACATCCCATAGAGACATACAATGAGACTGCTATGAGTGATCCATATGTATTCTACCACACTCACATCCCATAGAGACACACAATGAGACCGCTATGTGTGATCCATGTGTCCTACAACACTCTCATCCCATAAAGACACACAATGAGACCGCTATGTGTGATCCATGTGTCCTACTACACTAACATCCCATAGAGACATACAAAAGACTGCTATGTGTGATCCATGTGTCCTACTACACTAACATCCCATAGAGACATACAAAGAGACTGCTATATGTGATCCATGTGTCCTACTACACTCACATCCCATAGAGACACACAATAAGACTGCTATGTGTGATCCATGTGTCCTACTACACCATACTGTAGAGACATAAAATGAGACTGCTATGTGTGATCCATGTATCCTACTACACTCACATCCCATAGAGACATACAATGAGACCGCTATGTGTGATCCATGTGTCCTACTACACTCACATTCGAGAGACACACAACGAGACCGCTATGTGTGATCCATGTATCCTACTACACTTACATCCCATAGAGACACACAATGAGACCGCTATGTGTGATCCATGTGTCCTACTACACCATAGAGACATACAATGAGACCGCTATGTGTGATCCATGTGTCCTACTACACTCACATCCTATAGAGACACACAACGAGACCGTTATGTGTTATCCATGTGTCCTACTACACTCACATTCGAGAGACACACAACGAGACCGCTCTGTGTGATCCATGTATCCTACTACACTTACATCCCATAGAGACACACAATGAGACCGCTTTGTGTGATCCATGTGTCCTACTACACTCACGTCCCATAGAGACACACAATGAGACCATTATGTGTGATCCATGTGTCCTACTACACCATAGAGACACACAATGAGACCGCTATGTGTGATCCATGTATCCTACTACACTCACATCCTATAGAGACACACAACGAGACCTTTATGTGTGATCCATGTGTCCTACTACACTCACATCAGACCGCTATATCCAGACATACATCAGACATACAACGCGTTATGTGTGTGTGATCCATGTGTGTGTCCTACTACACTCACATCCTATAGAGACATACAACGAGACCGTTATGTGTGATCCATGTGTCCTACTACACTCACATCCTGTAGGTGTTATACAATAAGATTGCTATGTATGACCCATGTGCTTTACTACATATAGGTCCTGTAGTGACACAATGAGGTCCATGTGTGCTACTACACATAGATCCTCTAGAGATACAATGGGCTTGCTACGTATGATGCATGTGTCTTACTACACACAGATCCTGTAGGGACACAGGTTGAAGACCAGGCACAGCTCTAGCTGTCTGTCTTCCAGGCTGTATATATTACAGTAGATTATTGTACCTGTAGCTACCCATAATCCACACTACTGTCAGCACATAATGTGTAATAAAGCCAGCAGAGCCTCTCCTGCTATAATGTATCTTCTTGTAGCATCATTATAATTACATGATGTAACCATCAAAACCATAAATAGACAGGCGCTTGCTCAAAATGATTTCAACATAAATATCATAAAACATAAAAACTAATAAATAAGTGTAAGTGTCCCAACACCACATATAATAGTGAAAATCCTATATAGGGTGTCATAAAAGTCCAAAAAATGTGAATGACTGAGAATCCTATAGGAGGGTGTTACAATGGTCCAGTAGGATCTTTTCCACCTGTTGTGAGTATTATTATTATTATACAGTGTTTATATAGCGCCAGAAAGGTTGGCTCAGCGCTGTACATTATAGTGGGAGACAGAACATGAGACAATACAGTAACAAAACAATACACAAGGAGTTTGAGGGCCCTGTTTTTTCGAGCTTACAATCTAAGAGGGAGGGGAAAGTGGTACAGGAGGAAGTGGCTGTGGGGGATGGAGTGGTGGGAGGAGTGGAGGAGATTGGCTGTTAGGTGAGGGTGGGGTAGGCTTCCCTGAAGAGATGGGTTTTCAGGGTGCGCCTAAAGGTGAGGAGGGTAGGTGACAGTCTGATGGATTGGGATAGTGAGTTCCAGAGAATGGGGGAAGTCCTGGAGAAGTCCTGCAGTCGGGCGTGGGAGGTGGAGACCAGGGAGATAGAAAGTAGGAGGTCTTGTGAGGAGCGAAGATTACGGGTAGGGTGGTATTTGGGTATCAGGTCAGTGAGGTAGTTTGGGGCAGCGTTATGAATGGCTTTGTATGTCAGTGTTAGTAGTTTGAATTTATTGCTTTGGGCAATTTGGAGCCAATGGAGGGAATGACAGAGGGGGGTGGCAGAAGAGGAGCGGTTGGTAAGGTGGATGAGTCTGGCCGCTGAGTTCAGGATAGACTGAAGCGGGGATAGTCTGAGATGAGGTAGGTAGTGAAAAGGGAGTTGCAGTAGTCCAAAAGTGAAATAATAAGGGAGTGAACGAGTTGTGTAGTAGTGTCTGGGGTTAGGAACGTACGTATTTTGGAGATGTTGCAGAGGTGGAGTCTGCAGGAGTTTGCCAATGATTGGACATGGGGTTGGAAGGACAGGTTTGAGTCTAGAGTGATATCTAGGACTTTGGCTTGTGGGGTGGGACTGATGGTGGCATTGTTGGTCATGATGGAGAGCGTGGGGGGTGTGAGCTGGGGGGAAGATTAGGAGCTCGGTTTTGGAATGGTTCAGTTTGAGGAAATGGAGCGACATTCAGTCTGATATGTCGTTCAGCAGGTGGGTGATATGGGCGGAGACTGAAGGGGTGAGGTGAGGGGTGAAGAGGTAAATTTGCATGTCATCGGCATAGAGGTGATAGTTGAAGCCATGGGAGTGTATCAGTTTGCCGAGGGAGGAGGTGTAGATGGAGAAGAGAAGGGGCCGGAGGACAGAGCCTTAGGGGACCCCAACAGAGAGGGGGAGGTGGCAGCATTATAGGTAACGCTGAAGGAGTGTTGGGATAGGTAGCAGGAGAGCCAGGAGAGAGCGGAGTCTCTGATGCCGAGGGAGTGTAGTTTATTATGGAGGAGGGGGTGGTCAACTGTGTCAAAGGCCGCGGAGAGGTCAAGGAGTAAAAGGACTGAGTAGTGGCCATTAGCTTTGGCGGTTAGCAGGTCATTAGTGATTTTGAGTCAGGCAGTTCTGAGTACTAAATGAATTTCACACTCACCAGGTGTTGACCCCTATATTGGATGGTCAAATATTGCTTAGATGACCAAATGACATCTGGATTCCCAACTGTAAACTCTCATGTGGTGGGTCTGAGCACACTCAGAGCCACATCCAGGCAGATTGATTGAGATTTCAGTTCAGTGCACAGGAAGCTACAAGGACACTGGATTTGTGGCAAGATTAACAAGCGGTTTCCTGCACTTGGCCTAAAAAAAGAAAACAAATGTAGCCACCACATTGAAGGACTGATAAGCTAAAACATATTACATTTTTATTCTTAGGTTTAAATACAATGCTTGGTTTAAATGATTGTGTTGTCAAGGGCATGATAAATAATGTAAATTACCTACCTGATCCCTGCATCCCATAGACTGACCTGTCCCCCGAAGCCTCTTCTCTTCACCACTCCACTTGTCATTGGTCGTAGGCTGTCTAACCCCATCACACATACAATGTATGATCAGCAGTCCTGCATTGTATGTGGGAACACTAAGGTTCCATCCCATCCTCGGAGCATCAGAGAGAGGAGAGGTACACTGGCTGAAACAGGAGAGATGGTAATCTATTTACCCTATTCATCATCACCTAGTCCAGGGGGTCTTCAAACTTTCTATACAAAGGACCAGTTTACTGTACTTCAGACTTTTCAGGAGGCTGGACCATGGCCAGTGGGTGAAGAAAATGTCCTGCTGTCAGTGGAAGTAAACAATGTCCCATCCTTGGTATTATGAGAAATATTAGTGTCCCATTGTTGGTGTCAGTGGGAGGATTAGTGCCTCATCATTGGTGGCAGTGAAGGAATAGTGCTGCATCATTGGTGGCAGTGAAAGGAATAGTGCCCCATCATTGATGTCAGTGGAAGGAATAGTGCCCCATCATTGATGTCAGTGAAAGGAATAGTGACCCATCATTGGTGTCAGTGGAAGGAATAGTGCCCCATTGTTGGTGTCAGTGGAAGGAATAGTGCCCCATCATTGGTGTCAGTGGAAGGAATAGTGCCCCATTGTTGGTGTCAGTGGAAGGAATAGTGCCCCATCATTGGTGTCAGTGGAAGGAATAGTGCCCCATTGTTGGTGTCAGTGGAAGGAATAGTGCCCCATCGTTGGTGTCAGTGGGAGGAATAGTGCCCCATCATTGGTATCAGTGGGAGGAATAGTGCCCCATTGTTGGTGTTAGTGGGAGGAATAGTGCCCCATCATTGATATCAGTAGAAAGTATAGTGCCCCATCACTGATGTTAGTGGAAGGAATAGTGGCACATCGTTGGTGTCAGTTGGAGGGTTAGTGCCCCAATGTTAGTGTTAGTGCAGCAATTATTGCCCCATTTTTGGTGTCAGTTGGTAGTATAATGCCTTGTATCAGTGAGAGGAATATTGCCCCAAGGGCCAGATAAAAAGACTGCAAAGGGCCGAATCATCCTGTGGGTCACAGTTAGAGACCACTGCCTAGAGAAAACAAACATTTATTACATTATATAAGTATATTTTGCATCTGCCCAAAATACACCCTCTGGAAGATTTACCCCCCTTCATGACCACGCTATACGGCGTTGCTCTACTTTGACAATTGCGCAGTCATGCAACACTGTACCAAAATTAAATTTATATAATATTTTTCACCCAAATAAGGTTTTCTTTTGGTGCTATTTGATCACCACTGGGTTTTTTATTTTTTGCACTATAAATTAAAAAAGACCGAACGTTTCGAAAAAAAATAAGCAAAACAATAAAACAATAGCAGCGACAATGTTTACAAAAATAAACTTTCTTCATATATTTAGACCAAAATGTATTCTTCTACATGTCTTTGGTAAAAAAAAAGCTCAATAAGTGTACATTAATTGGTCTACATGAAAATAGTAGCGTCTGCAAATGACAGTATATATACTGGAATTTTTTTTATACTAGTAATATGCAGCAATCAGCAACTTTTAGTGGAACTGTGATAGTACGGTGGGCATTTTGACACTGGCTATGTAACACTGACATGACCAGGGACACTAATACAGTGATCAGTGCTAATATAATGCACTGACACTGTACTAATGACACTGGGCAGGAAGAGGTTAACATCTAAGACAATCAAAGAGTTAACTGTGTGCCTAACTATATGTAAGGTATGTAATGTGTTAACTGTGCTGTTTTACTAGGGGATGTGGCAGTCTTTGTCTCCCTGCTTTGCAGGGGGACAAGAACCAGCACATGCCCGCTGTCAGTAGAGAGAGCTGTGTTGCTTACCAGTACAGATCACTCTCCTGTCACTAGCTCCAACGATTGGTAGATCCTGGGCGTGAATCTTTGGCCGGGACCCGCTGATCAGCATGTCAGGGAGCCAATGGCAACGTGGGTAGGCGGGCGCGCATACTCTCTACCTGGAAAAGCAAAATCATGTATATATACATGATTTTGCACAGCCAGCCGGCACTGTAGCTACAGTGCGCAGTCGGAAAGTGGTTAACGCAATGCAGTTCAATGTGTTAAGGTGTGCTGCATTAATGCAGTCCATTCCTTTAAATGGGCTGGCAGTGCACCTTAACGCACTTTGTTTTGCTGTAAAGAGAAATGCAAGAGACTGAAACCAAATCCACTTCAGATACACTAGATCAGGGGTCTCCAAATTGTGGCCTGCGAGCTGAATGCAGCCCTTTGCTAGCTTTTATCCAGCCCTTGGGGCATTTTCCTTCCACTGATACAAAGCACTATTCCTTATTTATTATTATTTATTTATTTCAGGTACTTATATAGCGTTGTCAATTTACGCAGCGCTTTACATATATATTGTACATTCACATCAGTCCCTAACCCTCAAGGGGCGTACAAGGTCCCTAACTCACATTCATACATACACATACTAGGGCGAATCTGGACAGGAATCAATTCACCTACCAGCATGTCTTTGGAGTGTGGGAGGAAACCGGAGTATCCTTCCATTGATACCAACGATGGGGCACTATTCCTCCCACTGACACCAATGATGGGCCATTGTTTCTCCCACGGACACCAACGACACAGCACTGTTCCTCCCACTGACCCCAATAATGTGGCACTGTTCCTCCCACTGACCCCAACGACAGTGTACTGTTCCTCCCACTGATCCCAACAATGGAGCTCTGTTCCTTCCAGTGACACCAGCGACGGGGCACTGTTCCTTCCACTGACACCAGCGATGGGGCACTGTTCCTCCCACTGACACCAGTGACAGGGCACTGTTCCTCCCACTGACCACCAAGCCTAGGGTATTGTTTACTCCCACTGGCCCCCTTAAAGTTTGAAGGGCAGTAAACTGGCCCTTTGTTTCAAAAGTTTGGATACCCCTACACTAGATGTACAAAAAAAAAAGCTCTCACAGTTATTTCTTTCTGTCACTAGATGTTGTCAGTCTTTGATAGCATGATTCAATCCCAGGCTGTCATGGATCTGCTCCCTGGGAGTACATCCTCACACTGACCTAGGTTCAAAGCACTAGTTCACTGTACAGCCCTCACACTTCACAATGTGGATGCCATTTAGTGAGCAAGAAGTACTGCCTCTGCTGGGGAACAGGAAGGACCTGTAGCATCACCTGATGGGTCAGAAGACACTTGGCCCATGTGTTAACCACTCGCCGCTCCACTGCTCTACATTTACTGCAGCGAGGCAGCACGGGCAGGCACAATCATGTACAGTATATATATGTGACTGCCTGTTTCCAGGTCCACAGGCGTGCGTATGCGCGCCCCCTGCTGTGATTGGACATAGTTCAAGTTTGGCAGCTGATTTCAGCCAGTGATTTTAGCTGAAGTCAGCTGATCAGCTGTGTCCAATCACACACAGAGTTCTATGTTTACAAAACACAGAACTCTGTGTACAGGGAACAGCGATCTGGCTGATTGGCTCTAGGTGTTAACCCCTTCCCAGCCAGTATCTTTAGTACAGTGGCAGTGCACAGGATTAACACTGATCTCTGTATTAGCGTCGCTATTGATGTCAGTGCACCTCCCAGCCAGCATCAGCTTGCCCGCCACACTATCACAGACCCACTATCAGTTGCTGATTACGCCAATACCAGTATAGAATCATAGTTGTGTAAATTCTAGTATATATACAGTACCATAGTGTGACAGTAGGCAGGAAAAATCACCTGGTTGCGAGCAGAATGACAGGTACATTTGTCCTAGATTCAGGCTCTATGTGGATTTGTTCCACTAGGGGGAAGTTCTGAGCCCTTCAACAGAGAGGTAATGAGTCCAGCTGAAGGTAGTGGGCTCATTAGGGCCTCTATAAAACTTCCCAGCCTGCTTAGTGAGTTGCTCCATCCTGGAACCAGTTCTATGCCCGAGTAGACTGGGGAGCATCATACCTGTGCGGTAAGACAAATGCCTGTGTGGCCAGTCTGTAAATAACAAGGAGATAGGGACTGGGTGCAGTTGGCTAAGATCAAGTGTTCTTATCAGTGTCCAGTAGGGGTGCTCCACCATCATTCCTGCTTGCGGGGATCATTGGTTGTATAGTACCCCTGCTGGTAGGATGGGAGTCCTGATAGTTAGTACAGGCTGGAACAGAAACTGAGGCGCCCACAGGCAGTTGGGGCTCGGGAGTAATTCCTCTGGAAAACCAGAGGGGTCCAGTTCCTCCTGGTTTGAATGGATCTACCTTGTCTGGCCAGGGGCCAGGGAGGCAGAAAGTCCATGGAACAGTGCCCCCTGAGAGTGGTCGCCTCAGGGGTGCTCTTAGTAACACATGGGGGTGGGATCCCAAGTGTGAAACATGCACATGGTCACTGTTCTAAACACTTTTCCTGCACTGCGCCTTTTAGGGCTAGGCCTTTTGGCTAAGTCCAGGGCAATTTTTATGCTACGGGCCTCAGGGCCTAGCCAGTGCACAATTGCACGGCCACTTTTTTATTTATTTAATTTATTTTTTCTCCCACGTTTTGTCACTTTTCACTTATGTGTGTGTTTTTTTTTCTCACGGATTGTAGGGTGTGGGTCCTCGGGCCTAAACCTGAAGTCTATGGGGAGGATGCGTGGCCTTTTGGTTCCTTTCTCCCCTGTCCCTAGGGTGGCTTCTCTTCGGGAGAGCCCCCTTACCAAGTACTTGGTGGCTGGTTTAGGCTGGCCACAAGGAAAGGGGTCCGCCAGGCCTTTTGGCTAGGTGGACCACATGGGAACCTTGTCCCTGTCAGGAGCTTCGTGCCCTGGGGGATCAGGTTAGAGGTCCTACCCCTTCAGGGGGTGGACAAAGCACACCCCTAAGTGCACTTTTTTGTGTTGGTTTTGCACTAGCACATTTTTTGTTCACTTACGGGTTTTCGTTTTTCGCACTTCCATGGAAAAAAAAAGGCTGCACCTAGTTGATATCAAGGGAAGCTGTGTGTATAGTAAGTGGCCAAGTTGGCAAGGATTTATTTTCATGTTTTTCCTCTTGTATATAAACTGCACTTTTGTTTTCTCACCTAAATTGCTGTTTTGCTGTGCCTGTTTTGTGTTGTGAACTCATCCAGGGGGTCCCACACACCTGCTGCTGCGCTAACCCTGTTACAATAGTTTGTAGACACTATACCTTTTGCACAAACCAATTATTTATACATTTATTGGTCCTTTTTTTTTTTTTTTACCAAAGACATGAAGCAGTATACATTTTGGCCTAAAATTATTTTTTTTTATTGGATATGTTTTATAACCACAGAAAAAAAATTTTTTTTCCAAAATGTTTGGTCTTTTTACATTTAAGTAATAAAAAAACCCATTGGTGATCAAATACCACCAAAAGAAAGCTCTGTGTCTGAAAAAATTATATAAATTTAATTTGCACACCGTGTTGCATGACTGAAATTGCCAATTAAAGTAGCACAGTGCTGAATAGCAAAAAAATGCTTGGGTCATGAAGGGGCTGAAACCTTCCAGAGGTCAAGCTGTTAAAATTCTGCCAGGTTCCTTATCCCTGGTCACTGCAGGTATACCTGCAAATGTGTCAAATACCTGGTCCCTCTGTTGCATTATGTGGTTCCCCCAAAAACTGACATGCCATGTAGAATTGGGATGCTGGAAAATGAAAGATATAGTATCTTGTTTTATAGATGCCGTTATATTTTAGGTTTAACCTTCTAGTGAAAGTTGTACTGAAGTTTAAAAATGTTTTCATCTTAATACATTCTTTGCATTAAAAAGAAAAATGGCCCCACTAGCTGCCTTACCCCCCCCCCCTTTTTTTTTTTTTTTTCTGTGCCGCCGTCCTGGTTTCCTGGAAAAGCGACCAGAAGTGTGGCTTTCTGGTGCTGTTTGTCCATGGGAACATACACCTTGGTGCAGGACCCAATGGGAGAGCACACATGGGTCCCTCCTTAGCACCTTAGAGTCACTCTAGGTCCGTTTTTGGGCATGAAAGTGACAGATCTGAGGTAGTGTGATCCACCTACCCATAGACCTAATGTGGGTCAGATAAAGAATATGTGAATCCTCCCTTTGCAAAACAATGCATTCAGTTTAAAATGGGAAAGAAGGGCAACACATTTGTGTAAAGATACAAGTAACATTATAGATTCCCTTTTCTTTCTTCTTTTTTGTGATCATATACCCTCTGTTCTCTGCTACATAAGGTGCTCAGGGAGGAGAAACAGCAGTACACTGATCTTCCCAGTGAATGGCAGTGCAAGTCTGATCATTGGAGGAGAGCACACATGCTCTCATATATAAAACAGAAGAAAAAAGCGAGCGCTAAAACCAACAGCAGCTATTGCACCAATAAAAGGCAACCAAAAACAACCTTCCAAAGTACTCAAATAAATATATAGGTGCAGCGCTAAAGTATCAATACACAGAATGATAATAAAATATTGAACAAATCACAAGTGGCAAAGTGCAAATAAGGTGCAAATAATCACAATAAGGTGCTGATAACGTGACAATTGTGAGCACAGAATGGTGCTGATAAATCTATGTATCAATTAATGTTGCACAAGTGTCCACAGGTAATAAAATGGTGAAGATCTGAATTGGTCTCAGGTAAGTGCTCCAAACAAGTAATCATCCAGGTGGTGTGCTGTGAATATGTTAGGATTACGCACTCACCAGATGCGCAATCAAAGTACGCATTTGTATAATGTCAGCCGGAGGTCCCCTTAAGGATATGTACAGCCAGGTCTGGTCAGAGAACCTTACTTCCCCTGGGTCATCTGCCGCCACTCAGCTGTCCTCCAGAATGGGCTCTGTGATGGTATTGGCTTATATAGAGCCAGAAAGAAGGATGCCCATAGTGTAGTATGTTTTTAAATGGTACTTGTTTATTCCAAGCAAATCAGCATAAAAACGCATAACACACTGACCATGTAAGATTCCAAAAGATGGCCGCCGGACCTCCTCGTGGTCTCGGCGGCGTGACGTCACTTAAGGAGGAGCCGTACGCAGGATACATCTCCAACATTGTACTTTGGTTTTCATTCAGAATTGTCCATTCACTCCAAAATCAACCATTAAAAGCAAACAAAAACTAGGTGCTTTTGAATAACATCATCATAGTCATCAAATAATGAGAATTTTTGTAAGAATTTTCATATGAACATTCATTGAAAATCAGCTAATGTATGGTCAGCCATACTTTCCATAATTGATACCTAGTAGTTTAAACTAGCCAACCAAACTTGAAGAAAGGGAGCTGGAGCTTGATATAAGGAATGAGAATTGTGCAGAGTGATACAAAATAGCAGTGACAATGTTTACAGTGATATTTGTAGGAAAGCCTGTCCTTATCCATGGGAACTGGCTATACATGGGGTTTTGGATTGTTCACAATCAACAAATGACCTTCTATTCACCTGACAGTCCCATCACCTATTCATATCTATGAGCACCCCAAGGGAAGCACTTCTCTTATCCTGACAACATGAGTTAAGCAATGCAGATTTCTCTGAATTTGTCAGAGCTGGCCATTTAACACTTCAGATGACTTTACTCCAGCAAATCTCTTGTTCATCGTAAAGGTTGAATGATATTTGCCAGCTTTTCTACTTAGCTCATGTTTAAGGCCTCATGTATACTGGGCAGCTGCTCTTTGGGGCATCTGGCCTATTTTTTTTTTACCCATCACATTCCCCCCCTTATATCACATTCCCCATCCACCCCTCTTTTACATCAGAGTCCCCATGGGATCCCCCCCCCCCCCCCTCATCCTCCCCTTACATCAGAGTCTGCCTTAGGATTACCCTCTTTTATCAGGTTCCCCATCACTGTCCTCCCTTTATACCACCAGGTTCCCAATTTATATTAGGGTCCCCATCACAGCTCCCCATCAGTAACTTCTCTTACATTAGAGCAGTGGTCTCCAAACTGTGGCCCTTTGCTTGCCTGTATACAGCCCTTGGACACTGTTCTTTACACTGATATGAGGCATTATTCCTCTCACTGACACCAATATGGGGGCAATACTTCACCCCACTGACAGATGATGGGGTATTGATCTTCCTCCTTCTGACCACAGGCACTATGTACGTTTATTTATTTCAGGTACTTGTATAGCACAATATATACAGCGCTTTACATATGTATGTTGTACATTTACATCAGTCTCTAACCCTCAAGGGGTGTACAATCTAAGGTCCTTAACTCCCATACATGCATACACATAGGGCCAATTTAGACAGGATCCAATTAACCTACCAGCATGTCTTTGGAGTGTGGGAGGAAACCAGAGTACCTGGAGGAAACCCACAGGGTGCAAGGAGAACATGCAAACTCCAGGCAGGTGGTGCCGTGGTTGGGATTTGAACCAATGACCCTAGTACTACCAGACAGAAGTGCTAACCATTTAGTCACTGTGCTGCCTTTAAGTGAACTTGCACTGACCAACAAGCTTGAGACATGGTTTACTCCTACTGACACTGGGGAGTTTTCTACTCCCACTGGCCACAGTCTGGCCCCCCTAAGGTCTTGGGGATAGTAAACCAGTCCTTTGTTAACTTGTTGCCGACCGCAGATAGCCGAATGACGGCTGCACTGCGGCCGGCCAGTTCTGAGTGGACGTCATATGACGTCCCCCAGCCCCAGGGGGCGCGCACCCCGGCGATCTCCGTGATCGCTGTGTCCTACGGACACAGCTGATCACGTGATGTGGTAAAAGGCCAATCACAGCGGCCTTTTACCACCTGATCAGCGGTGTCCAATGACACGCTGATCAGAGGGAAATGCAAGTGCCGGTTCTCGGCTGCACTTTCCTCACGCTGTCAGATCGTGAGGAAAGTACTGCCGAGAACCGGCAGTTGTCAGAGCAGGGATCGGCACCGATCATCAGGGCACTGATGATCAGTGCCCTGATGATCGGTGCCCAGCAGTGCCACCCGCAAGTTCCGCCCACCTGTGCCCTGCAGTGCGCCCACTAGCTCCGCCCACCTGTGCCCAGCAGTGCACCCACCTGTGCCCAGCAGTGCACCCACCTGTGCCACTCTGCAATTTCACCCACCTGTGCCACCCACCTGTGCCCGCCCACCAGTGCCACCAGTCAGTGCCCAGCGGTTGTGCCAGTCAGTGCCGCCAGTCAGTGCCCAGCAGTGATGCCAGTCAGTGCCGTCTATCAGTACCCATCATCAGTGTCACCTATCAGTGCCGCCTATCAGTGCTGCATATTAGTGCCGCCTATCTGTGCCACTTCATTAGTGCTGCCTATCAGTGCCCTTTAGTGCTGCCTATCAGTGCCCATCAGTGCCGCCTATCAGTGCCCATCAGTGCTGCCTCATCGACGCACATCAGCGAAGGAGAAAAATTACCTGTTTGAAAAATTTTATAATAGAAACAAAGAAACTTTTTTTTTTTTTCAAATTTTTGGCAATTTTTTATTTATAGTGCAAAAAGTAAAGCGTCCCAGTGGCGATTAAATACCACCAAAAGAAAGCTCTATTTGTGAGAAAAAAATGATCAAAATTTCATATGGGTACAATGTTGCATGACCGCGCAATTGTCAATCAAAGTGCGGCAGCGCTGAAAGCTGAAAATTGGCCTGGTAAATAAGGGGGTATAAGTGTCTGGTAGGCAAGTGGTTAAGAAAGTTTGGAGACCCCTGCATTAGAGTCTGCCTTAGGATTACCCCATTTCATCAGGGTCCACATCACAGTCCCCCCTTGCATCAGAGTCCCCATATGAGCCAACTGTCTAATACTAGGTTTACACCAGCCCTCATATTACGATTCTTGCAACCTGCAACCACTCACAGCTGCATCGTGTCTCTCATTCTAAATGGCACCCACACACATCTCATCCCGCAGAGCGATCGGGGCATGATCGTGGGAGTGGGAACCGTACGGAAACTACATGGTCAAAAAGACCATGCAGTTTCTGTGCAGATGCATTTTTGGAAAAGGTGCATGCACCTGCAGTGTGTACTGTACATGTGTACTGTGCTCCCAACACAGATTAGCTGTAAGGTGACCCAATGGTGATTGCCGGACAAACACAGCCTAGGGTCAGGTGTTCAGGGGGCTATAACTATGTACATAGGCATTGCAATTTGATGCAAGGAATAACCCCCTCTGAGATCAAAAACACATGCATTTGTAAAAGTAGTTAACTACTTATGGTGTGGTGCCATTTCAGCCCATTCAAAATGAATTGCACTGTACAGAACTGCATGAGAACTGCACAAAAACTGCACAGTGTTCCTGTGCGATTCCAATGCAGTTCCTAGACAGATGGTATGCTTATCACCCTCTCAAAAGTGATTTGCAGGGATCACTTTTCAGAGGGGGGAATAGCAGTGGCTGACAGGCTTTCGGGAAACACTACTAACACCTATGGTGTTGTTTTTTTTTTTTTTTTTTTTTATTTGCAGAATGGCAATTATACACTGCAGGACCATTCTGTAACTTCAAACCCAGTGTTTAGCTTACTGTTGCAGTGCACCCAATTGATCCCGATGGCCTAGTTTGACAGGCGGTGCCACCTGTCTAATTCTGGAGCCTGAGTTAAAAATGCAACAGCTGTGAAGCAAAGCACCATGGTCCTGGCATGTGTCCATCCTTGTCAGGCTGCATTGTTAGTATTCTGGTAGACAACTGAGGGGCTGTAAAACCATGGCTCAGCTGCCTGTGTAAAGGAGCTCTTCCAGTACCTTTTTTAAGATGCATTAAAAAATTATGTGTTAGCAATGATGTGTTTTTCCCTTACTGAATGAATCTTTGTTTTTATTAAAAAGGTCAATTTGCTTTAAAAAAGTGAGGTGAAAGCACTGAAATTACATCTAAATTGCCCAGGCTGAGTGCCATGCATTTCACAAGGTTTGCAAATTGATAGCAGTTAAAAACAATGTGTATTGTATTTCACTTCAATAGGTCACACTGTGTTCAGGAAAAATGCAAACTATGCTGCCTGTGACACCCCATTGATAATAAACAGCAGAACAAGAAAACTTTTTTTTTTTTTTCTTCAAATGAATAGGAAGCTTGACTTAGGGCCCATTTACCAAGATGTGTGTGTGTGTGTGTGTGTGTGTAGAGGTGGGGTTTTTGTAGCATTCAGCAGGAGTGTGCCTGACCAGGCCATTTTTTGCGATACAGCACTACGTTAATTTAACTGATAATTGTGCGGTCATGCAACACTGCACATAAATTAAATTTTATGTCCTTTTTTTCCCACAAATAGATCTTTCTTTTAGTGGTATTTTTGAAGGAAAATTTTAAGGAAAAAAAAACTATTTTTTACTTTTTGCTATAAAACATGTCCAATAAAAAAAAAATCTAAGTTCTTCATAAATTTAGGCCAAAATGTATTCTGCTACATGTCTTTGCTAAAAGAAATCCCAATACGTGTAAATTGATTGGTTTACGTGAAAGTTATAGCGTTTACAAATGGCAGTATATATACTATTAATGGCGGCGATCAGCGACTTATAGCTGGACTGTGAGACTGCGGCGAGCATTCTGACACTGGGTGGGAACTAACGACCACTGACATCCCCAGTGACACTAATACAGTGATCAGTGCTAATAAAAAGCACTGACACTGGACTAATGACACTGGGCAGGAAGGGGTTAACATCTGGGGCGATCAAAGGGTTTACTGTGTGATGTGTATGTTTTTACATTGTATGCTGGGTGTGTGTTTGACTTGGAAGACATGCTGCTTTGTATCTCTCTGCTGTGCATGTGTTTACATGCAGGTCTCTCCCCTCTCAGCCCTGCCAATGATCACCGAGAATCGCCAGCCAGGACCTGGTGATTGACTCCTCCATCAGCCAATAGCTTATCCTGTGTGTGTGTGTGTGTATATATATGTATGTATGTGTATATATGTATATGTATATGTGTATATATATATATGTATATGTGTGTGTGTGTGTGTGTGTGTGTGTGTATACCTACACGTATGTGATTTTGTGCCGCCATGTAGCAGTACTTCTGCTATAGAGTGGAGGGCAACTGGTTAATGCATTTTGAAATTTGGAGTGGAGGGGGTTAACAGTCATTGACCAGGGCTTGTTTATACCTGTTGCAAAGATATCAAAACGCATGTTATTTGCATTTTCATGCGCTGCCATGGACTCCTGCACCCTAAAACGCAGGAAACAAATGAGCATGTCATGTCTTTTAAAAAACGCACTGTACCGCTTTATTTAGGGGAATCACAAAGGGGCTGATTTACTAAAGGCAAATAGGCTGTGCACTGCAAGTGCAGTTGCTCTAGATCTGAGGGGAACATGCAAGGAAAATAAAAAAAACAGCATTTTTGCTTGCCCATGATTGGATGAAAGAAATCAGCAGAGCTTTGCCAGAGCTTCCCCTCAGATCTAAAGCAACTACTCTTGCAGCGCACAGTTGATTTACCTTTAGTAAATCAACTACAATGTTTTAGTGCATCAGAATGCATGCGTCAGACAGCAACAGTATAAATGGGCCCTTTATAAGGCCCAGTTCACACTGGCAATGACATAAATACATTTATAGGATATCTCTAAACTCATACAAATGCATGTGATGATACCGACCACACACACATTTTAAAAAATCAACCTTTTTTTGCTAGAAAATACCCCCCAAAACATATTTATATTTTTGTAGCAGAGGCCCTAGAGAATAAAATTGGGTGGGTATTGCAATTTTTTATGTCACATGGTATTTGCCCAGAGATTGTTCAAATGCAATTTGGAAAAAAATACACTTAATTATGTGTTTGTGTGCCAACAAATTCATTAAAGTTTTTTTTTTTGGTAACTTTTTAACCACTTCAAATCCAAACACTTTCACCCCCTTCCCATCCAGGCCATTTTTAAGCTTTCAGCACTTATCACACTTGTGAGTGACAATTACTCAGTCATGCCACACTGTACCTATATCAAAGTTTCATCATTTTTTTGAGAAAGATAGAGCTTTCTTTTGGAGGTATCTGATCAGCATGAAATTTTGAAAAAAAAAAGTTTGCTTTGTTTTTGTTATTTTGCAAATAATTTTTCTTTATAAATTTAGGCCAAAACATATTCTGCTACATTTTTTGGGGTAAAAATAACCCTGTGTTGCTTACTCTGCATGATCAGTTGAGACCCTAAAATGCTGGAATGATTTATGGCAGTGATCAAGACACTGGTATAGGGTATGGCAGTGATCAGAATGCTGGTGTGGAGCATGGTGGTGATCGGGACACTGGTATGGCATATGGGGTGATCAGGATGTTGTTATGGAGTATGGCGATGATCAGAATGCTGGTATGGTGGTGATCAGGGTGCTAGTATGGAGTATGGTGGTGATTAGGGCGCTAGTATGTTGTATGGCTGTGATCAGGGTGCTGGTATAGATAGGGTATGGCGGTGATAAGGGCACTAGTATGGCATATGGCAGTGATCAGCTGATGCTGGTATGGAGGTGATCAGGGTGCTGGTATAGCGTATGGCAGTGATCAGGATGTTGGTATGGCGGTGATCAGGATGTTGGTATGGCGGTGATCAGGGTGCTGGTATGGAGGTGATCAGGGTGCTGGTATAGCGTATGGCGGTGATCAGGATGTTGGTATGGAGGTGATCAGGGTGCTGGTATAGTGTATGGCGGTGATCAAGGTGCTGGTATGGTGTTTGGCGGTAATCAAGGTGCTTGTATGGGGTATGGCGGGGATCGGGACGCTGGTATGGTGTATGGCGGGGATCGGGATGCTGGTATGGTGTATGGTGTTTGGCGGTGATCAGGGTGCTGGTATGGTGTATGGCGGTGATCAGGGTGCTGGTATGGTGTATGGCGGTGATCAGGGTGCTGGTATGGTGTATGGCGGTGATCAGGGCGCTGGTATGGTGTATGGCGGTGATCAGGGCGTTTGGTGTGGCATGATCAGGACACTAGTATGGTGTATGGGGGTGCTTGTGTGAACATTGGGACAGGCCTGGATGCATTATATATTGTCCCTACACTGGTGCAGTGATCAGGGACACTGTGGTTGGTTGGCACTGCAGTCTGTGAGTTTACAAGCAATCTGACTGGCTGCAGATCCCTTCTCTGCTCTCACACCAAGAGCAGAGAGAAGCGATCTTTAGTTTCACTTTCTGTTGTTTACTATGTGATTGCTGTGATTAGACACATCATTTGACTGACTGGCCAGACACAGCGGTATTGTGATCCCGCTGTGTCTGGGCGACATACCAATCATTGGGCTCTCGGGTGTGCGTTTTGTGAGAGCCACGCAAGAGCTGCCAATGTAGGCTGACATACAGGTACATTAGCCTGCATCGGCAAAGCCTCCCGTCTGTCATCTATAAATTATGGGTGGAAGGGAAGAGGTTAAAATTGTTATGCCTGAGTAAATACAGGGGTTGGACAAAAAATGGAAACGCATAATATTGCAGGTATGAAAGTGACATCATGTTTTGTGTTGAAAGCGGAAGAGATGTAACATTCTTCTCTGCTTCCGCTGTGTGATGAGACACCTAACAGGTGGGAAGCCTCACTTTTGTCATTCACTTTGTGCTCTGCTAGTAATAGAGTTGTGTCAGAGCTCACTGTGCTTCAAGAAGGGAAAATTGTTGGTGGTCGCTTAGCTGGTGCCTCTGTGACTGAAGGTGCCAATTTATTTGCCGTGTCGCAAGGTACACTATCAAAGGGTATGACGGCATATACAGATTCCAGGAAAACGTCGTCTGATAAGCATAAGTGCGGTTGCCATGGTCAGCTGACTGAGAGAGAGACAAAAGGACATTGCGCAGGATTGTGACCTGGAAAAAGAAAAACAACTGCTGCAAAAGTGACTGCAGAGCTCAATCTCAGTCTTCACAGGAGATAAGACGTTCACCTTGGGGAAGTCGTCGATTAGTATAATTCAAGTTGCAGCTGGGGGGGGGGGGGGGGTATTAGGGGTTAAAAACAGGTGGTTGAGCTTCTTTTTTTTTTTTTTTTTGCCCTCCCTCCCCAAAGGTGCAAAGGCTGCCAAGGCTGCCATATGGGGGTATACACATGCAGAGGCCACAATGCTTTCCATTGCAGCAAAAATGACCCTCTCCGTTACAAAGCTACAAAAAGAACAAACGGGTGCAAGCAACAACTAGTGCATTACCATTGATTTATTTGGGAAAATAAAATATACAAATAGATCGGCACTCACAAAGGTACAAACATGAGAGCGTTAAAGACTACAAAACGCCATACAGTGCAGAATATGCATACTCCAACGACACCCCCGCTAGGCTGGCAAGCTGATCCGTTTTGGGGGTTTGCCCTGCAACCACATGGGGTAAAACAGACAGTGAGGGGGTGACTTATTGCCTCCTTACAACCTGTCAAACGCCCTCTGAAAAGCGATCAACAGCAGATTGTTCTTCAGAGGGCAACCCTTGGGAAAAGAAGTGTTTAGTTTAGCTGAATTTAGATAAAATAGAATTGGGTGTGTCCAGGAACAGGTTAGATACTCTGACTGCATCTAAACACACCTAAGCATAGTTACATTTTAAACACAACTTCATTTGGGAAATGTATAGTTTGCTTATGCTTCTCAGATAATTTCCCTGCATTTAAATAAACTGATCACAGGAGGCCAGTGTGATTGTAGCTGTCCATATGCACAAATATTTCCATGGAATTTTCACCTCTCAGATCCCTGTTTTCTGAACCCCCACCCTCTTGGGACCCCCCTTTGTTCCATGCACAGTGCAGACTGCAGCCCACTGAAAGCTGTGGCTGGGACTGGGATGTGCATTGTATATGAGATGTGATTGGACAGGAGCACATACCAGTACAGCCGGAAGCATGGCTCTTATGTTTTCCTGTGGACTCCAGTGGCTTAATGGACTGGTCACACTGGTATGAAAGTCAAGAGCTCCTATTAAAGAAGTGGAAACGTCAAAAGTGACATCTCCTCATAATTCAAAGTCACAAGCATTGGAATGTATATGCATTTTTTATCTTTGTAGTATCTTAGTATTACACTTTTCTAGCTTTGGCTTTGTGTTTGTATGCATTCAACTTTATGTCATACTGTTGTACTGTGCACTGTACTCTTTCTGCTATATTTTTGCACAATACGTTGTAATATATTGTGTTGTAATATATATTTTTTTACTATACATTGTACTATTTGTCACAATATATGTTGCACTATGTGTTGTAATGTATGTTGTAATATACATTGTACTATATGTTGTACTATACAGTATTTTGTACTAATACATTCCAGCATGTGTCATAATATATGTTGTAGTGTGTGTCATAGTATACTGTATGTTGTGCTATACATTGCACTATATGTTGTGCCGTGTGTCATGCTACATGTTGTGCTATACATTGCACTATATGTTGTACCGTGTATCATACTGTATGTTGTGCTATACATTGCACTATATGTTGTACCGTGTATCATACTGTATGTTGTGCTATACATTGCACTATATGTTGTACTGTGTTCCACTCTACATTGTAGCATGTGTTGTAATATATGTTGTACCATACATATTGTACTAAATGTTGTACTGTGTGTCATAGTATACAGTATGGTGTACTATACATTGCACTATATGTTGTGCCGTGTATCATGCTGTATGTTGTGCTATACATTGCACTATATGTTGTACCGTGTATCATGCTGTATGTTGTGCTATACATTGCACTATATGTTGTACCGTGTATCATGCTGTATGTTGTGCTATACATTGCACTATATGTTGTACCGTGTATCATGCTGTATGTTGTGCTATACATTGCACTATATGTTGTACCGTGTATCATGCTGTATGTTGTGCTATACATTGCACTATATGTTGTATCGTGTATCATG